GAAGATGATATACCCGATGAAAATGCAGAGAGCAAAGAAGATCGTATTTTAAAAGTATTAGAGACTGAAATTTCCTTGACGGAACAATGCCTGTTGGTCAATCCCAAGAGTTACAATATTTGGCATCATCGTATGTGGCTGTTGGAACAATCACCCAAAGCCAACTGGCAGCGAGAGGTTATGTTGTGCAATAAATACTTAAAAATGGATGAAAGGAACTTCCATACATGGGATTATAAACGTTATGTTGTGGAAAAGGCTCAAGTTCCCAAGGAAGAAGAATTGGATTTCTGTACTGAGAAAATTAAAGTTAATTTTTCCAATTACTCTTCGTGGCATCATAGGAGTTTACTACTGCCCGCTCTCTATCCCTATGAAGGCGATGCTAAACCCAAACGTCCCATGAGTGAAGAAAAACTCAAGGAAGAATTGGAAATGGTACTTACGGCGGCCTTTACTGATCCCTACGATAGCTCAGCATGGTTTTATCAACGATGGCTTTTGGGATATTCCCAACCGGAATTGGCTGTGTGTGCATTTAGATGTAGCAAAGACAAGACTGTCTTATCGTTTACCAAACCCACTACCAAGGAAGAGTTAAAAGTATTACTCACCGGTGGTGGACAAACATTGGAAATTACTGATTTCCAAACACTCAATAATCAAGTCTCTGATACAAGTTTCTATAGCAAAACCCAAGAAGAAAATCCTTCACTATATACACAATTGGAAGTCACTTCCAAAGCACTTAAAACAATCACACTACCTCTAAGTAAATACAACGATGACATTTATTATTTCCAACCTTTGGAGGCCACCACAACGTATACTCCAGATGTATTGGATCAGCTAAAATCACAATTAGAGTCCTGCGAGAGTCTTTTGGAATATGAACCCGATAGTAAATGGTGTTTGCTTACATCGGCACTATTGATGAGGGCCATCGATTGCAACGGATACCATGACAAGACCATGGAGTATTTGAAGAAATTGCAAAAAGTTGATAGCTTAAGGGAAAACTATTATAAGGACTTGGCTTCCAAATGGATTTTACAGAAAGCTTTAATTCAATGGTCAAAGACTGGTGAAAATATGTTGAAATCGTTAGATTTGTCACAAGAAAATCAACTAACATGCCTTACGGATAAGCAATATTTAATAGTGGCTGATGAAATAATCCTATCGGAGGAATTGACCAAACGCTATGGTGAACTGAAATCATTTATCAATATTTAAACATGACATTTTCTAAATCACTTGTGAGTACTTAGAGATTCATTGTTATTCATTTGTATGCTAATAATAATAATAATGTGAATGTTTATTTCTTTCTTTGCAGATATTTGCCTGGTATGGTCTATTCATTGTCTCATATATGGTTTTAGACAAGCTTATATTCCTTTAATGTTTTTTAGTAATGTATTTATTCCAATATTCCATTGTACACCAATTTTATTTAGGCTGAATAAAAATTATACCACAACATATTTATGGGAACACACATAATAAACAAATTTAGTTTTCATTGGGTGGGTTGAATAAGTTGTAAATTCTCCATATAATATTAAGTTATATTACATTATATTAATTGTAATCCATAATGTATATAATTTATATACTTACCAGAGATCTGCATTAGCTGAATTTCTTTTACTGCATATTCGTTGCTTTTGCATTGCTTTGCTATTATCGTTGCTCTCTTTTCTCTCTCTATTTTCTATGTGCCGTTAGCAATACATAATCTCGTTGTCATGTGTGTTTCTTGTTTGGAATATTTAAAGGAAATTAATTTTCCACATTTTTAAATACATACATGTATTTTCACTTTTTAATTTATGACATATTAAACAAAAGGGAGTATCAATGTAAACAAATTTGTTTTTCAAGACGTATGAAGATTTTTATGAATGCATGCTAAAGCTCGTTGCTTTTGCGAGTACTATGAATATATACAGGTTCAAAGCAACAACAAGCACTAAACCATTGGTGTTCAAAACTTCCCAAAATCATTCGTTAGCATTAATAGTTAAAATTGTACTCCCATTTGTTTTCCTCTGTAGTTTTTGGTGATAAATTCTCAGTTGCGCTCACCTACACGTACTCTCAATTTAGTTATGCCAAACACTGCACTAAACAACGAATGATTTTCCGGCACGAATCATGCCTTTGCATCATTCATTTGTCTTTGTGCATGGCACTGCACATTTCTTTTTTGTGTTAAGGCACAAATGAGCGAGACTTTTTTTACCATTCATGAAGATCTCTGATACTCACCACTAATTATAAGAATAACTTTACTGCATTAACACACTCTGCCACCATAAATTTTCTCAATAATTAAACGTTTTATTAAATCGAGAAAAATGTATTTATTTAATCGTTTTGCATCTAGGTTTTCATTGATCTAACATTAATAAATAAATATTTATATGAACAATTTCTAATAAACAATTATTTTATTATTACTTTAATGAAATGTATTTTTATTTCGGTTTGTATTAACAACGGATTCAAAAATATATGTATGTTTATAGTTACAAGTTTAATAAAATAATTGATCGTTTTTCTATTTTATTATTTGCTTATTTGTTATCATTTCCGACAAGTTGTTTTTCATTTGTTAATATTATAGTGTATCTTATATATGTGTAAATAATTTAAAACCCGTTTATTGATTTTCAATCATATTTTTTTTAGTTTTTAGGAAAACTGTTTAGCTTGGTCCATTCGTATGTAATTCAATTCTCAAGTGACTTTCTAGGTCTTCACTCTCTTCATTTGTTTTTTTATTTTCGGTTAAAAGTACTTCATTTTAATTTGCACTTTAATTTAAAGCTTAAACTGAAATAGTTTTGATTTCTTTTTTGAAAACAATAATTCTAAAGTTTTCAATATACATATCAGTACACAAAACTTGTTAAAGTCTATCATATTTAGAAAATAGAAACTTTATAGTGTTTTTTATTATATTTCAAACATTTATATATTGGTCGTCTTACTTCTTTAATTAATATATTTCAATACTTACGTTTAAAGTATGTATAAGTAGGATGTGCATTTAACAGTTGTCAAATATTATGTGTATATTTATATCCTAATTATATATATTTCGGTTTATGGGGACGGTTTTTAATTTACATCATCCTATTTAAAATATGGTGAAAGATTTAAGAGAAGACATACTCTATTCACCCTTCACATATTTTGGTGCTTAAGTAAAAAAATGTATTTTGATATTCGTCTGCATAAATGTCTTTAAAAAATAAAATCCCGAGCTGCATTGCTTTGTCCGGAGTATTACTAATACTGTGAGCCCTCTAACGGGGTGAATCTAAATTCATCTACGAAAAGAAAAATGAAATTGAAAACTGTATTTTGGATTTTTTTCAGAAAATATAAATCAATAGAAAATATACTTTGTGTTTTTTTTATTTAATTCAATTTAAATAATTTTTAATTAAGCCATAATAAATGAATTATTTTTACGATTTCAAATTACCATATATTCTTACAGAATATTCCGTGTAATTTGGAGAAGATTCATTGAATCGAAGTTTACGATTTAAGTAAAATCTACATTAATGTCCTCAAATTTCATTTTTGAAAATAAAGAAATAAGAAAAATACCAGTAAGTTGTAATTAACAGCCGACAACTAAGACCTTACTGACCACAATTTAATTTTACAAAACAGACAATAATTGCGACATTTGTTTCATTTAATAATACACGCACAGGAAGTGCATAAACGTTTTGGGATGCCGACTATATATCTCAGATATCTCCGTAAAATAAATGATTGAAATATCGTAAATTCGTGGGATCTTTTCGATTTGTTCAAATGATATAATCTTTATAACCTTTGAAATTTTTGTGGATAATATATTCATATTAAACCATGGATTAGTAATTTTTAATCTATTCTACGAAATATAGGAAAGTTAATGTATTAAAAAGTGTGTTAATGCGTATGTGTGAAAGGAAATATATTATTCAAGAAAAGTATTTTATACAGGAAATTTTTTTATTTTTTATAGTCATTTTATAAAAAATAGAATTATTTTTCAAAAGTTATTTAAAAATGTTAATTCAAAATTTACTTTCAAAAAGCATAGGACTGATGTAAGTGTTTGGTTATTTATATACTAATAGGTAATACATATTGGACCATGTGGTTAATTTTTAAAGTTCTTTTTTTTTGTTAGTTAGTTTAGTAACATTGCTGCTAATATATATTAGTATACATATATATTGGTAAATATTATTATAAAAAACAAACTTTCTTACTTATCGTATTTACTTCAAATTGAATTGTGGTGTTCTCGTTTGGTTGTTGATTTTTTGTTGTTGTATATTTTTTACATAAATATAATTCTTTTTTATTTAAAGAAATATCAATGATTTACAAATTTATGCATAAATCTTATAGTCTATAATGTTGTTTTTCACTTGCTAAAATATATTTAAAACTTAAAAGAACAGAAAACGAAAAAAAGAATAGAATGTTTTTTTATAATTCAAAAAGATTAATAGTGAATGCGAACTATTATGTGTATTTTGTTTTGTTACATTGCTAATAATTCTGTTATAGATTTAATTATACATAATTATAAGTAGTAATGATAATATTTCTTTAATGTAATCTTATTTTTTGTTTTGTTTATACACTTTACTCTTTTAAAGCCTTAAAGCTAAAATGGGGGGCTTTTTCATTTAAAATTATAGTTAAAATAAAATAATAATGAATAAAAAGAATGTTAAAAAAATATTTCATAATAATAATTATTATTATCATTATTGCCTTGTGTAAGCAAATTCGTTAATAAGGGGTTTCATTTCAATTGTTCTTGTTATGGATATTTATATTTGTAAATTCAATAATTTGTGTGTGTTTCTTGTTTAAAACATTCGAATTTATTAATGGTTAATGTTGTATGTATAGCTTGTATAAATCTAGACCACTGCTACTATTCCATAATATTACATCGTTTTATTTTTCTTCCTGTTGCCTTTCAATGCACAGCATCAATGTCTCTTTGTGCCCTTGAAATTTTTAATTTATCTTTTGGTGTATTATCTTCACCCGATTCCAATGCAAACATTTTCATTTTCTCCTTAAAGGAAAGTTTTTCGGGTACTGCTTCGGTATTGCGTTGTTGTTGCTGTTGTTGTTTTTCTGCCAAGCGACGTGTACGTGGATCTCTATAGATTTAGAAATAAAAGTAGATTTGGTTATTTTGCATGTATGGAAATGAATTAAAAAAAAAAAACGAATTTACCTGTAGACTTCTTGAGCCCCTATGACGCCGGGAGTAGATTGTACTGTGGTATTCCATGCAGCAGCATCAGGTGTGGCAGGCATTGATGGCAACATGGATGTATCGACATTTTGTGGTAGAAACTATGAAAATAAAATAGAAGCAATTAAATTTTGAGAAATATCAATTTATTGTAGATGAATTAAAAGGATATTTGTTTTGAAATTTCCTCATCCTTTTTGAATTTCATGTAGGGAGGACACTATATATTTTGAATCACAAAAAGTCCACAATACTTACACTACTATCCTCACGAATTGTGTTCAAATCCCCAGAAGCTCCATTACTCGACACCGTCGACATATCCACACTATTACTATTGTATTCCATTTGATGGTATGCTGCTGTTGAACCACTACCACCAACAACATAATTATTTTCTTCATCATGGAACGAAACACGTTTATTGTCGCGCATCAAAATCGACGATGGACTCGATGATGATGTTGCACTGTACATATCCATTGTCGACGAGGATGGCGACGACTGTTGTGAAGAAATTAAATTATTTTGTATATTGTTGTTATTATTGTTTAGTAATATGCTAGCAGCCGAGGATTTCTTTTGCATATCCGCTGAATTAATGGTAGCCGTTTTCAGAAGACCAATAGAAGAGCTACGTTGTTTTTGTTGTGACATAATCAAATATTGGTGGCGGTGCCGATGAATTCTCCATATTCATATTGTTATCGTATGAACTAGTTGTTGTTGTCGCAGTTGTGGTCTGCTCCTCCATCTCTTGATCCGCGCTCAAAGGTTGAGAGTCTTAAGTTGTTCGTCCTGTTGTGGTGTACGTTGGGCAATCGATGACAGTTCATTGATTTGCTGTTCACGCCATTGACGTATGTGTTCGCGGCGCATTTCTACCTCCTTTTCGCGTTCCTCACGTTCCCAAGGATTTGTTCCCAACATGTTCTTATTTTGTTGTAATGCCGAAGCGGAAACTGGTACATAACCGCCTTTAGGTGGATCCAAGGTACTGGCAATGTAGTTCATGCCTGGTGTGATTTGTTGAGTGGCCTTGTAAAGAGGATGCGTGGTGGTTGGTGGTAGAGGAGGTTTTTCCTCAGCGGTTTGTGGTTGTTGTTGCTGCTGCTGTTGTTGCTGTGAATACAGAGTCTGACCCAAATAAGACTGAGGCGGAAATTGCTGTTGTGTGCCCGATAAACGATTTTGTTGTGGTTTTGGTGCTGTGGGCGGCTGTTGTTGTTTTGGTGGAGTTAATTGTTGTTGTTGTTGACCTGGCTTGGGGGGTAGTGTCATGAAGTTGCCTTGCTGTTGTTGTTGCATTTGTGTCATATTCGGTGAGTGTTGAGCTCCTCCATCCATATAGTCGGGACGCATATTTCTTCTAAGGGTTTGTGCCCCACCAGCAGGTGAATGTTGTGCCTGCGACATATAACCGCCATTGTTTTGTTCTAACGTATCGCCGCCCATAGATGAAACATTTTGCATGCTTTGACTTGCTGCCATGGACATATTGCTATGATTGCCAGGGTGCGATTGTTGTTGTTGCTGCTGCTGATGCTGTTGTTGGTACATATTGCTAATGTTGGGCATGGATGGTGCCATCATCTGTTGCATACGTAAACTTTGTTGTGTTTGCATGTCACGTTGGAAATTCTGGGTACTCTTTGAGCGATTTCCCAATGTCATACTCTGTTGCTGTTGTTGTTCACGATATAGTTGCTGCTGCTGTGGTGTCATATGATGCATGGGATGCTGTGAATGTTGTTGTTGTTGCTGGGTTTGATGTTGTATGGTCGACAAGTTGGTGGTACTAGCACTGAAGTTATGAGCATGTTGTGCAAATTGTTGTTGTTGTGTCAAATGTTGATGTTGTGGTGGCTGTTGTTGCTGTTGATAGTAGGCCGATTGTGGGCGACTGGGCAACATATTAGATGAATGTGGAGATGTTATCATTGGATGTTGAGAATTTTGGTGCTGTTGTGGTGGTTGCTGCTGTTGTTGTTGTTGGTATGGATTTTGATGTTGATTTCCAGTTGGGCCTGTACCATTTGTTGGCGAGAGTATTGGATTTTGTGTGTTTTGTTGGGAATTTCCATTGTATGCGTTCATTGCGGAATGTGATGGCATGGGGGGTCTGAAAGAAATTATTTAGAAGAAAAGTATGATTAAATAAGAGGCATAGAAATAAAATATGTAAACATAGCAAATATTATTTACATTCATAATATATTTAATACAAATATATAATTATGTGAATATAAACTGTGTACAATTTGGAGGTTCAAGTTCGAGGGAACGAATATGTATATTTAGTTTTATAAATTAAGAAGATATAATCAGGGAAGTTTCAAAGAATATAGTGACACGGTAGTGATCCATCCTAATGAGTAATTCCACGTGGAATTTTCGTATTTTGTGGGACAACATTTTCATAAACAACATTCCTATTTAATCTCTGGCGTAGATGTTTACTTCAAAATTTATTTTTTATATTTTATCATTAGTTAATAATTGTTGAACAGTTTTTTGTTTTGTAGAGCACATAATGCAATTCATAAGAAAATTATGCGAATAAAGGTTGACGTTTGGTGTACTTTTATATGAACGGTTGTACAAAATGACAACATAAATAATTGTTTGTTTGATATAGCAGTCCTTTATAATAAGTGCTTTGTTTGATAATGAATATAAATAGTTGTAGTGTTTAAAGTATCATTTGTGTGTATGTGTTTTGTGTATACAAAGAAAATCAAATAAATTTTGCACAAATAAAGCGAATTGCAAATGTATAGGTGTACTGTTAGACAATAAATCAAAACATCGATCAGGAATAGCGGAAAGCAATTTGCATTTGTTCAATTCTACTCACATTGGTCATTTCTAGAATTTGTACTTCTTTTTTAATGGGTATAAAACCATAAAGTAATTTTTTAAAACGTAAAGTAATCCTAATTGATTAAAATTGGTTGTTTGTGTAAGCATTTATTTGTACAAAAGAAGAAAAACAAAGAGGAATAGAAAAGAATATGAAAAAAAAAACAAGAAAAAAAGAAATGTGATACCAGTACCAATCATAATTTGTATATTCTTTTTGTTTAAATGTACTCTAAACACTACAATAATATAAATTATTTTTTTTCGTAATTTCGAACTTACCTTTCACTTAAAATCGGTTGTGATTGATTTTGATTGCGATAAACGCTCAAATTTTGATAAAAGCCTTGTTCGTTGTTGTTATTATTGTTGGCATTGTTATTTAAGGTATTATTTAAATTTGTTGCAGGATTGGCCAAACTATGAGTACTGCGTGATTTCGAATTTGCCATGGCTTTAAGAAAAATAATATATTTTTTAATTATTTATGTATAAAATAAAATTTTTATCAAATTGGTCATAGAGAATATTTATATGATTTTTATTAATAGTTGTCAGCTATGTTAATTAATTATTTTTTTTTTAATTTCTTAATAATTAAAAATTAACTTACATATAGTACCACTGCCCATGTGATGATGTAATGCTGGTACTGATTTACTATTGGCTAAATGATTATTTGCTATGAGAGGACCACCAACATTTTTACCATCAGCACCCATACGTGTTAGATCACGTTCAGACATGCGACGATTACCTGAAGATGTTGCATATTTCATTTTGTTTTGCGATTTTTTTTGGAAGCAGGCGTTTGATAATTTGCAATTGTAACCAATTCGTAATGGTGGTTAGAAGCAATTTGTCATGAAAAGTAATGAAGAAAAATATGAATTAGTTTAGAGTGCATTGTTTTTAGTTATAACAGTAGTATTTAAAATAAGTATTAATAAATATTTTTATAAATTAAAATTAATCAAAGTGTACTCTACAAGAAAATTAAAATTTAATATAAAATATTGTTTATGGTAGTAAATTAGGAAAACAGTACATGTGAAAATAAACCAACAAAAAATGGCTCATAATAACGTTAACTAAAATCTATAATCACTTATCTATAGGTGGTAAACTCATTGATATATTTCATTGTCTAGATATAAATCTATATAGTTCATATTATATAAAAGCAATGAAAGGATTTCTATATACGTACTACTTTCTAAAGCACTACTTGACCTAACCGATATTTATTAGATTCGTTTTTTATAATTAAAAATTATTCTTTATATCAAGGATAATGATAAAATTCCATATACGGATTTTATTTAGGATAGAAATTCGTGTTTGAACGCCCCATATAATGATACGTACTTTAAATAGAGTAGGAACTTTGTAAGGGTATTATTCTAATAACATATCCACACCCGATTAAGTTCAATGAAAACTTATAGTCATTGTAGAACTAGGTTACTGAAGGGTTATGAGACCTATATACACATATTTTGTCACATTTGTAAAAACAATTGATAAATAATAACCTAATTTAAGAACCATTTATTACATTCTTAGCATAAAGTCTAAATAAAAAATCCCTAAGAAAGAAAAGGTAAAGTCCACATAACTCATAATAAAAAATATTAAAAATAATACTTATATTGAATTAGAACAAATTAAAGTTCTATCTGTAAGGTGCAGCATAATTTAAAACCACCAATCAAAATTATAGTTCACAGTTTTGAAAACGCGTTGAAAAAATAAAGGAATTAAAACACAAACACAACGTCGAAGAGTAATAAAAAACATGGAAAAACAAACACAAAAAAGCAACTCAAAAACAGGGCTAGATTTCCCAAAATGTTTGCAACAACCTCTTGTCAACGGATTATCAACTTGTTAGGTTAGAATCGTCCACATCAGAAATTTCATCAGCAGCATTCTCTTCATTTGCCATTCCATCGACAGCTTTGTCATCATCATCGTGTAATTCATTAAAGCAAGTATTGTGATTTTCAAATTCTTTACAACAATGGGGACAGGTGCTAGAGCATGTACGAAGATTTTCTGTAGTTGGAGTTTTAATAGGCTGATCAACATCATCACCATCATTATTCAATGAGGAAGCTAATGATAATAGATTTCTACACCGGGATGGGGTTTCCTCTCCATCATTTGACGTTTGCTGTTTATATTGTTGCTGCTTGCGTTTTATACTTCGTACACTTTTTGTTTTGGGGCAAAGTTTTAAAGTACCACAACGACGAAATGTTGAGGTGGGGATGCTGGCATCTTTCGTTGGGGAGGTAATGGTAGAAGCATTTGATGAGGAGGTTGTTGTTTCAAAGTTATATTGGATTTCTGGGCCATCATTCATTAGTTGGTGGTCGTGATGATGATGATGTAGTTGTTGACGACAATGATGTTCATGTTGATGACAACAACATGTGCAATTGGTGTTTATACAGGTTTGTGTGCAATTTTCCATAAAACATACATTTAGTAGTTTGAAAACATTGACAATCACAGTTAACATTGAAACGACTAGAAGTAGAGGTGGTGTTGGTGGAAGTGGTGCTTGGTCAAAGGCTTTAAATTACAGGTTACAGGAGAATCAGGTAAGCACCTTGTATTGCAATCATGTATAATATTATTATTGTTATTGCTATTTGTATTGTTATTTAGACAATCATTCTACTAATTTGTTGTTTGGTTTCATTCTATTGTACTGAGGAATTGGAATCTGGACAATGGCGATT